GTCAATTTTCAATCGCATATTTTTTAATATACTAGCAACTAAGCCGAAAAAAAAGCTATGACCAATGTATATACCTTAAGGAATATCAATAATAATGGTCGTCGGCTTGGTAGTGCATATGAGAAAGAGCTCAAAGAAGAATTATATTCTGCCCTTAAATCTAAAGCAGAAATCAATGATCTTAGCGAAAAGTTGGTAGATAAGTATTCAGGGCGAGAAAAGAAGTTCCAGCAATTCCATGTTGATATTGGAAATAATGTTAGCCAGCTAAATAATGCAAATACTAAGCTTACATCTCAAATTACTTATGAACAGAAGTCTCATTCTGAGAGTCAACGTGAGCATGAAGCAAAACGAGTTAAATATTCTGCTGAAATCAAATCGCTCAAATCTAATATTAAAACGCTAAAGAGAGAGGCAACTTTGGCGCAAAAAGCTTTATCTGCCGACAAGATCAAGATCCTTTCTCTTGAAGCTAAAGTAGTTGAATTGGAAGGTAAGTTGCTAGATCTAGAACTAGAACGTGATTCGTATATAGTGGGAGGACTACTAGAGGAGCCAGCCCAAATAGACTCATCTGATACTAAAGAGATCGATTCTCTCAGTCTTGAATTGGAACGAGTAAAAGAGGACCTTAATCCGAAAGAATATACAATAGAATATATGGAAAGGGGGAAAGAGTTATCAGATAGCATATACAAACAGGAAATAGATGCTTTAAAAAAGACGCGATTAAATTCAATGGAGGAAAATTCCCATCTTCGAGAGATAATCTCAAAAAAAGATAATGAAATAGCAGAGCTTTCTATCCTCCTACCTCCGCTTATAAACGATTCATCGCAAAAGCTACCAGGTTGGGTCAGTGACGATTTAAGACCTCTCGTCTATGAGCTCGGTCTTGAAAATAAAGTTATGGAATTCGATAAAAGTTTTGCTAGGGAAAATGTATTAGAGGCTTTGCAAGAGCTATTACCCTGGAATGGGATGGTTTCGAAAAGCCAGACAGATACTCTATCCAATCAATCGGTTCATAGTCAATCAACACATTCTGAAAAGTATATTTCAAGTGAAGGGTTGCTAAGCAATTAGGTGGTGCAGAAATGGTATCTTTACCAGCAACTACTCCTATTATTGCGAGCTCCTCAATGTCACTGATATTAATATATATTATACTTACCTTATTACTTCTTGCAATTATATAGTTCATGATCGGGAGAAGGATATAGAATTCGTGAAAAAAAAGTAATACCGACTATTCTCCTAACTGAAACATTTTTTTATCATCCCCAGCTATTTCTGAGGCCGGGCTATACAATCGAAAGCCAGAAGTTTGGAGTGATCATCCTAGGCCGGAAGTTCGAAGATAGGAATTGAAGTTAGCTGGGTATTATTGCATGACCGGAGGAAGAAAAAATATGTAAATAATATTATGTAAAGTGCCTTAACGGTTAAGTATTCTAGCGGAGGTGTGGCAATTTCAGCTAAAAGTACTTAACCATATAATTCAATGATCTCGTCTATATCTGCTTCGGACGAATGATTGAAATACCTTAGAAAGTTTATTGAAGGCTCTTGATATATTTTATAAGCCAGTTTTTTGCCTTTTTCTGGGAATATTCATCGATCTGCTTTTCTCTTATATCTGAATCTTTAATCTGCATTATTTTATCTGATGGGAGCGGTTGAAAGCTATCATCTTCATTGATAAAGTGTGCGCACATTGCAATTGTAGTGCCTAAATAATAATTGATATCTATTTCCATATTTTGCTCTTTTGCGATGTCCGCATACTCCATAAAATCGCCAACTCTATGTGGCTCCTTTCTACCTTCTTTATTATAGAGAGGCGGGCCTTTTACAACAACATAGCTAAAGCGTTCGCTGGGATCAGAAATCCTCTCATTCCTCTCTCTCATATGTCTCATAAAGCAATTATTGCAAAGATTTTTTTTCTTAGGCTTCCATGTTCCCATTACGATAAATTCATTGAAATCCCATTCCCTGTTCTTGGCTTCTCTAAGAGTATCTTTAACAATTTCGTGAATTGAGCGGGTATTATTTATATCCATAGCCTCCCTCATAATCTTCTCTCCAATGAATTTGAGAAGCTGGAATTTCCCTTGTTTTACAGTATCTATCCCTTTCATGAAAAGGGTTTTCGGCTTAAAGTTTACTACATCTTCATGCCCAACCCCAAAGTACTTCTTTTTACCGGCAAAGCAGACGGAAAATAATACCTCTTCGTATGCCATCTTTAGATAGGACGTCTCACTTTTTATCCTAAGATAAGCGTTTACTTGATCACGTAACTTTCTCATCACATCCATAGTAATTTTGACCATTTCAGTCCAATGCGCTTCTTTAGAAAGATCTTTTCTGGAGAGGGCTTCATCGCATTTTTCATAATACTTATCCGGGCAGGTGAGATACAAAGAATCGGTATTCCCATATTTTATCCCAAACCCTTTCTTTGATACGAATTCGGCAACAAGATTAAGGTTATTTTTTCTCACTATAGTTGTTCCACAGACTAATTCACGAAGAAAGATTGGAGATTTTGAGTTGCCTGCCTCCCCATAGAAAGTGTTCATATATACCTTTAAAGCTTTTTGCTTCGAATCCCAATAATCGTAATCGAAGCATACAAATGAGTATTCTAAATTTAAGCTTTCTGGAATCTTTTTGCCTCTTTCTTTAGCTGAACTTATAATCTTCCCAAGATGTTGCTTTTTCTTTCCTAGTGGGACTAGACGTGCTTTAAGTTCCAACCTCTTGTTAAATAAATCCTCCAATACGGCTAGATATAGGCCTTTCTTTTCCGTTTGGTTATCATGGCGGACGCACCAAGCTTGAACGATATGATTATTAAACGAAAACTCAATCTTATGCAAGTCATTTCCATTATTTTGCGCAATATCAGCATCCTTTGGATCAAATATAAATTTTTCTGGGGAGAGGTTATATGCCATGATAATACTGGAATATAATGAAGCAAAATCTAGACCAGTTACTGGCCTTTCCTTCTCGATACCTTTTTTAGGCGGAAAAACGTATGCGCCAGGAAATTTCCCTTTTTCTATATTTTTACATACTCTTGTGCTAAAAACTATATCTCGTTTAACGGCATAAGCGCCCAGAAGGTTTTGTACTTTCATTCCATTTGCGCGATAATGTGCATCGAAGAGGGATACATAAGCTATAGAAGCAACTTCTCTATAATCATTAATTACACTTAGTTTTACCAATAGCTCCTGACAACGCAGTGCGTCTATAATGCAATAGTTAACTACTTCACGCATTTTTCTTGCAGTTGAAGGAGAAGGATCCTTTTTCGCCTCTGAATAGATTTTCCACATTTCATTATATGGCATGTCAACTTTATCATCAAGACCACACTTTTTTAAGAAGAATTTTAGCGAACCTTTCTTTTCGACTTCAGAAGAGGGATAACGTTTTTTGAGACATACTCGAACATCGATTGGTACACATCCTAGCAATTTAAGAAAACTGGAAAAGAAATCATCATTCGGGTCTGCAGTAATTTTGACCCTAATTGACCCCCCAAACTTTCCTTTTCCTCTGGATCATCTTCCCCTTTCTCGGGAGACCTAACAGGATACTTTTTTACGAAAGCATTTTTAGATTTCGCTCCTATCTTACCACGATATTTCCACTTTATAATTTCTTCTTTTGTTTCAAACTTTCCAGTCATTCGCTCTCACATCCATTTGAGTATGTTGAGATGATAGGCTCTCTCCATAATAAAACGCCAATCATAGTCAGAATCATTAAACCCAACTACGATGTCAGGGGCAAATGCTCGCCAGCAGAGGGCAACGCTTTCAGTAGATTTTCTTGGTTTCCACATATGATCGTGATGCATCGTGGATCTGGTTCTGTCTCAACGTCGATAAGACATATTTGCTTTAGTGATTTTGGATCATCTTTCCAATGCAGTGTCATGCCAATCGTAAAAACATTATTATTCAGATCAAGGACTTCAGCAAATTCACCCAGCTTTCGTGATTGTGTCTCTATATCCTACGTGAGAACAAGAATACGATCCCGTAAGAGAGCTGAAATAGGAAATCGGTCACTTATTGTTATGAAATCCTCTAGCGGACAGAAATCTTTATAGATACATAGAATTCATGTGAACAGAGCGGGCTGGTTCGCTTGCCTTTCTTGCATGTATATTTGTTTATTGTAGACCACCCAGAAAGTTGGATTCTATTCTCTCGAGCTACCTTACGATGAAATGACCACATGTCATTTGATGCAGTTTCGAAATTATTTTCTTGGATAGTTTGGATGGCTTTTTTTCTCTCTCCAGTACCATTCGTATAAATTCGTAAATATGACTTTTTTTCTGTATGATCACCCCGAAAAGGGAAAGCTTTAATGTGCTCCATTTTAAATGACTTCACAGTGCCAGAGAGAATTTCGCTCACTTTTTCTTCACATTTATCTGGAGTCTCTCCGTTTGGTATGAGAATGTCAAAGAAAACCTGAATGCCTGTAAGGGTTACTAGTGCCTTTTATCCATTAATAAGACGGCCATAAAGACGCAATACATAGCGGTACATTCCATTTATCTTTTCAGTTGATCCTTCATTCTCAATGGCCATGAATGGAATATTTTATCGTTTAAATAAAGCATTCTCGAGTATTAGTGTTAATCCCTCATCATTTTCCGCAACTATATCATCCAGTGTTGAAAAGCCTAATAAGTATTTTTCACCGGAATAGTGAATTACTTGGGCTTCCATTTTATCTTTTTCAGCCTCTAGGTGAAAAAGTGGGGCGGGGACGTCGAGGAACTCAGAAAGCTCAAATTGGGTCATAATATTATATCACAAATATACAGTTCGAGAGAAAGTATATATTCCGGGTAGAGCTCTGAATCAGGTCAGGTCAACCTGTGACCCGACCCGACCCTACCTGAAAAATCCAGGTCAGGTAGATAAATTTTCATGTCAACATCAGGTCGGGTCAAGCTTATGACCCGACCTGATAAAATTCGGGTCAACCAATCAAATTAAACGAAATAAA